ATCCAAAATGGCGGACCTCTGAAAATGAAAAAACACGTTTTTTTTTACGGCTGTAGCTCGGAAACGGTAAGAGCTAGAAAAGATTTGAAAGAATTTTCATAAACAGGAATTAAATTTTCTACAAAACCCTCTTAGGCGTTTTCCGAAAATCGCACTCCTTCAGCTTAAAAAACGCAATACTTTAAAAATTTGGTAAATTTCATTAAATTTCTATCGGGTTTCGCAATATTTTTGTACCTAAATAATTCTTTTTTGCAAATATTATTAATGCTTTGTATCCTCCTTAGTAGACTTTAAATTTTACTCATTAAGTGTTTTTTCGTAACTTTACTCCTTAACCCCCAAAACTTAGGTTTAATCTCAAATTTGAAGGTTTTTTACCACTTTTACGAGCCCCATGTTATTCTTATGGAGAATAACATTGTAAGTGGCCGACTTTGGTGTGCTCATCTGAACGGTTTAGAAACGTGATAGAGACTTGAAATTTGGCAGTAACGTAGTATGTGATCTTAAATTAACGGTGAAATTTGCAAAATTTCCATTTTCAATTTTAACCACCCCAAAAAATCCAAAATGGCGGACCTCTGAAAACGACAAAACACGTTTTTTTTCAAACGGCTATAGCTTGAAAACGATAAGAGCTAGAAAAGATTTGAATGAATTTTCACAGTCAGGAATAAAATTTTCTTCAAGACACTATTAAGCGTTTTTCGAAAATCGCACTCCTTTACCTTCAAAATACGCCCTACTTTCAAAATTTGGTAAATTTTTTTAACATTTTTAACGATTTTCGCTAATTTTTAAAACCTAAGTAAATTATTTTTTTCCAAATATTATTAATGCTTCGTATTTACTCTGGTTTACTTTAAATTTTAGTAATACTATATTTTTTATAACTTTACTTCTTGACCCCCAAAACATAGGTTTAATGTCAAAATTTGAAAGTTTTTACGAGCATCATGTTATTCTTAAGGTGGAATAAAGTTGAAATTTAATGACTTTGGTATGGTCATCTGAATCGTTTAGAAACTAGCTAGAGACTTGAAACTTTATAGCATTGCATTATGGGATCGTAAATTAACGGTGAATTTTACCCCACCCAAAAATCCAACATGGCGGACATCTAAAAACGACAAAAAAAGTTTTTTTACGGCTATAGCTTGAAAACGGTAAGAGAGATTTTCTTGTTTCTGTTTTGTATTGTTTCTATTTATTTGTTTGTTAGTTATAAGTTATTGTTACTTATAATATGACGAGAGTTGTTCTGAAAAGCAGTTGTACTGAGAAACGCTTGATCAATAAAGGCATTTTTATTTATTTATTTATTATAGCTAGAAAAGATTTGAAAAAATTTTAATCGTCAGGAATTACATTTTCTACAAACCCTCTCAAACGTTTCCGAAACTTTCACCCCTTCACCCTTTAATAAACGTCCTACTTTCTAAAATTTTTAAAATCCTTTTAAGTCTTTTTTTGGTTTTCGCTACCGTTTCCTACCTCTGCAATTTGTTTTTACAATTATTATAATTGCTTTGTATTTTCCTTAGTCTACCTTAAATTTTACACTCTACATGCTTTTTCGTAACTTTACTCCTTAACCCCTAAAACTTAAGTTTAATGTCAAAATGTGAAATATTTTTATACATTTTCAAAGTTTTAAAAGGACTCTTTCCATGTTATATGGGCACAAGGGTATTGAAACTATACACACTTTACTGTATTAGAGCTAACACCAAGGTGAATATAAAATGAACCATATCAAAATCCCCCCCCCCCCCTACAAAATCGATTTCTCCCCTTATATCTTTCCTACTGTCACTACAGGTGCATCGTTCTAAATCACGTTTACCCCCTTCTAGATTAGCTGGAGATTGAAATTTGGCACCATTTTAGGTCTTGAGCTCTTATTTCAAACTGACATCTACAATAATAACCCCCCCCCCCCCCAATGTTATTCTTACAGGTGCATCGGTCTAAAACACGTTTACCCATTTATAGATTAGCTGGAGATACTGAAATTTGGCCCAATTGTAGGATTTGCACCCTTTTCGGAAATTGACATTTTAAATTAATAATAACCCCCTTCCAAAATATTGACTTCCTCCATGTCATTCCTACAAGTGCATCGGTCTAAATCACGTTTACCCACTTCTACATAAACTGGAGATCTGAAATTTGGCACGATTGTAGGTCTTTAGGTCTTGTGTCCCTCTTCAAAAGTGACGTTTTACAATAACAACCCCCCCCCCCCCAGAAATAAAAAATTCCCTCTCCCCCAAACAAACTAGACAATTTTTCAAAGTAAAATTTTCCTATAATAACCATTTTTTAAGTTATTCTTATGGGACATAACTTTTTAAGCTTCTGACTTTTTAAGCCTTTTAAAAACTACTTTTCGGTAATAACCATCTTACAGTATTTTTATTTGTATTGCCTTCTTGACTTCTTTACGCTTCTTGGTCTTGGCCTTTCACCACCTTCCCCCCAAGTTTTGAATTCCCCCCTTTTATTTTTATAGGGAATAATTTTGAAAGTGGCCGTTAGATATTATTGTTACTAGAGATTTTAGTAGGATGTAGTAAGTAATCTGATAAGTCAACACCCCACAATGGGGGACTGGGGCTAGACTCTAATCTACTAATGACGACGAACAGCTAGGGGGCCTGGGGGCGGAGCCCCCAGCGAGCCAAAGGCGAGTTAGTATGTGATAATACTTATAATTCCAAACAACACTGTGCAACCCCCATTGCTATAAAAATTATGGTTCAAAAGTTTTATGTTTTTTTTTACCATAAAAACCCATTTAAAATACGGAAAAATGGATTTTTTTGAAAAAAACCGATTCTGATTGAAATCCTTCTGTTATGGTCCTTATAATTCTAAACAAAATAGTGCATCCCTTCATTCCTGTTAAAATTACTGTTCAAAAGTTAATGAAAGTTTTGAGATTATACCTATTAAATACCATAGTTACTCTCATCGCTTACCCATGATAAAGGTTGTTGACAAGCTAAAGGGAGAAAGTATGTGTCAGATTGCTGATACCGTTTATTATATTTTATAACGAATAATGGTTTTGTAAGAAAAATAAGTTATATTTAAATTTGACTAAAAACTATATCTATAAAAGAGTACTATATATATATTCTGAAAGTTTCATTATAATCTGTCGAGTGGTTTCGGAGTCCATAACGTATATAAACACACATATATATATGTGTGTGTATATACGTTATATATATGTGTGTGTATATACGTTATGGACTCCGAAACCACTCGACAGATTATAATGAAACTTTCAGGCATTATTAAGCATCTTTCAAGGATGGTTTGTGTGAAGTTTGGTGCAGATCTGTTAAAAGGGATCCGTCCCAGAGGGTTTTAAGTGGGCCAGTGTCAGACTTTTTGAGGTACTTTTCTGTTAAAGGGAACATTCATTATTATCGATGATTTTCAATCGATATTAACGAATTGAAACCTATCAGCTGACAACTACGATAAATAAATATTGTTCAGTATAAAAAAAATATTGAAATGAATCTGTTCCAAACCAAGCTAACAAAACCAACCAAACTTGTAACATTTCAAAATTCCGTTTAGTCTTCCTCACATGCCTTTTCTCAAACGGAATTTTTTAAATGGTACAGCAAGTTTGGTTGGTTATGTTAGGTTAGCTTAGAACAGTTTTAATCGATATAATAGACTAGATTTTAGCCTAAACAAGATCAGTTGTCAATTTGTAATGGATTGTAAAGGGAAACAAAAATATCGATATATCGATTGAAAATCATCGATAATAATGAATGTTCCCTTTAACAGGAAAGTACCCTTTTTGAACTACAATGTTTACATGAATAAAATTCAAAAGCAGATGTTTACTTTCATAAACTGTTTTGTAGGTTACCCTCTGCAATACTATACTACAATATCCTTTGTGTCTTGCTTTTGCAATGACCATTATAAGGCACTAGGGCAATCTCTGACTATCGTCGGTTTAAATTTAGAAAATGCATGCTTTTCACACGGACAGCTGTATGTTGCGTGCTCACGTGGTGGTAGGTACGCCTCAAAAATTATATATTTATACACCTAATGAAAAAACAAAAAACACTGTTTATCCACTGGCAATTAAGTAAAATATTCTATTTTAATTTGTTGTATACACTTTTATTATTCATCATAAAGAAAACATTACTATTTAAAATAATAGTTGTTAAGCGCAGCAACGCGCGCCGGGTAAAAGCTAGTATATCTATAAACAAGGAAAACTACAACATTATTTTAATTCTCCATAAGAATAACATGGACATTTTAAATTAAAATTGTTTTGAATTATCTCCGTAACTGTTAGGCATACAACCACACTTCAATAAGCAAAGTTATTTCTTTTTTCAAGCTACGGTACCTAATGGTTTGGAAAGAAATTGTGAAATTTTATATTTTTAGAGTAAAAAATGGGAAAAACCCCTGTTAGTACTTAAATGCCCTTTCTTAATATTCTGAGACATATTTGCACATCTACGTGAAAACACCTTTAATTTGACACCTCAAACATTAAAACACGTCAAGCTGTTATCCAGTTATGGCTGTGAAAAGAAAACTGCTTGCGTATTAATATATGGATTGATCTTTTAAGTAAAAAAGCGATCAGCTGATTTTCGGACCTAGGGCAGCAAAAACCTGCTTGGCCCAAAATGACGACGACAGGTGGCATTTCGGCCCTGGACAGCAATACATAGCTTTTAGCCTCCAATTAATGTTTGTAAAACGGCCAAAAACATCGTAATATGGTGGGAAAAATTGATTTTTGATGATGTGACGTATTGAAAGTGTTTTAAAAACCACCAAACATGTACTTATTCTTGGTTTCTTCATTTCAGTTTTTGCACCAACATTATTTTAGACCAATATGATGTACTTGAACTAGTAAAAATGGTCTTAAATTGTTTAATCATTATTTGACCTAAATAAATGTGTTAATAAAGTGTGATATTTTTCAGATGTGTTGCTAGATAAGCCCAGTATTCGGTCAACTGCATCATTTAACAAGTCCTACAGAAAAGATTTATAAATAAAGGTACAAGGCTTATTGATTAGTCGACCCTTCTGATTATTATGGTACTTTAAGCTTATCTAATAAGTTTCACAAAGACAGAAATTGGAAACTTACCAATGTTAAAACACACTAAAAAGCCTCTGCTTAAGTGTCCAATATGTGGGAAATTTTTTTTAACTCAGTTGAGAATGAAGGTTCATATATTGTATCACACGGGCGAGCGCCCCTTTAAATGTTTGATGTGTGACAAAACCTTTACCCAGCAATATACGGTAAAGAAACATGTGTTGACACACACAGGGAAGAAACCTTATAAGTGCACTACCTGTGGAAAATCCTTTGCATCAACATTCATTTATAACAGACATGTATTAATACATAGCAATGAGCGTCCTCATAAGTGTTCTACATGTGGAAAATCATTTTTATGCAAATACAAGTTGAAGTCGCATACATTGTCCGTTCATACAGAAGAGAGACGTTATAAGTGCACAACATGTGGTAAATCCTTTAAATGCAAAAAAGGTTTGAATGAACATAAATTGACAATTCATACAGAAGAGAAACCTTTTCAGTGCACAACATGTGGCAAATCCTTTAAACGCAAATACGGTTTGAAGTTGCATATATTGTCAATTCATACAGAAGAGAAACCTTATAAGTGCACAACATGTGGAAAATCCTTTAAACGCAAAAACCATTTGAAGTCACATATATTGTCAATTCATACAGAAGAGAGACCTTATAAGTGCACAACATGTGGAAAATCCTATGCACACAAATGCAATTTGAAGGCGCATGTATTGTCGGTTCATACAGAAGAGAGTCTTCATTAATGCACCACATATGCGGAAAGTCTTTTGCATATATAAGCAATTTGATAGAACATACTGTTGGAATTTAGTACAGGTACAAGTGCTCTAAATGTGAAAAATCCTTTAAACCGCAAAAACAGTTGGAAGGTACATATATTGTCAATTCATACAGAAGAGAAACCTTATAAGTGCAACACATGTGGAAAATCCTTTAAAAGCAAAAACAATTTGAAGTCACGTACATTGTCAATTCAATTCATACAGAAGAGAAACCTTGAGTGCACTTCATGTGGAAAATCCTTTGTATCAACATTCCTTTATAACAGAAATATATTTATACATAGCAATGAGCGTCCTCATAAGTGATCTACACGTTGGAAATCCTTATACAAATGTCCTTTTTTTACAAATATATATGTATTTATTCTTGACAATCTAATTTTGGTCTTAATCATTTCCACAACTGATGAGTCCTTATAAGTAGGAATTTAAAAGCAATTATAACGGACATGTTTTCATTTATATCAATGAACGTCATAAAAAGCCAAATGACATGAAATGACTCACAAAATGTTGTTTATAAATAATAGTCAATTGTAAGACCAATGGTAAATCCTATATGTTTTCATATTTAATATAGAATGTAAATTAACTAAATTTTCTTCACCAATATCATGTATTATACAGGTTAGATAAAAAGTCCCAGGACAGTAAAATATTTCAAAAAGTAATAAAGGTGGAGCTTCAAAACTTGGTACACAGTTACTGGGCATTGAAATTATTTTAACACATTATTCAGTGATATGCTACCTCCTTGAGCGATGGCCCAACAGGAGTCAGAAGAAACTCTTACATGTAACGATAGGTTTATATGCACAATCAAATTAAAGGTCTTTGTTAGTAAAATACAAAGCCGCAAGTTTGAACTAAAACAGACATTAAAGTAAAAAAAAAACCCACCGCAGCAAACCAGACGACTAACCGAATTTCTATTTGTCTGAATTGATTTCAATTAAATCTATTTTCATGGTTTTTAATAAAGCTATAAATAAATAAAATGTTTACTAATATAATATAAAATACAACTATTTCATAAATTTAACTTATCAGTTTAGTTTCGCTTAGAACTATCAACATCTATAACAAGTTTCCAGAGCCGTCTTTATAAAATGCGAGGCCTGGGGCAATACATAATTGCGAGGTCTTGTTTAACCAAGCTCACCGGGGGGTCTGGGGGGTACTCCGTACCCCCCAGCTGAGAGGGGAGTCCGGTGGTTTCCCCCCGGAAAATTTTTGTAAAATTATACTTGTAAAGTCGTCATTTTAAGCACTTTGACGAAAAAAAATGAATATTTTACACTCTGAAAATGGGCGTGAATATTATTGCTAATTACACATATTATTGTTCCAATTCCAAAGTGGATATCATAAATATTGCACACGAAATTCTTTACAATCATTAATAAAAAAAATCATAAATAACACTTCTCCTTTACTGTGGATTGTGAATTGAATTAACCCTTTGTAAATTAAACACAGTGGCGGGACGACAATTAATAGTAAATGCTTATAGGCTATCTTGTTTATTTATTTTTTGTCAAGTTAGGTTTATTGTGTTTTCGGCAGTTGGTCTGTGAAGGGTGTTTTAAAGGTAAAAAATATTACATAAATAATTGTCAATGAGATACTTGCAAATTCGTCATTTTAAGCATTTTGATTAAACAAATGAATCTTTTACACTCTGTAAATGGCCGTTAATATTATAGCTAATTGCACATATTATTGTTCCAATTCTAAAGTGGATATCATAAATATTGTCCACGAAGTTCTTTACAATAATTAATGAAAAAATGAACACTTCTCTTCATTGTGGATTGTCGTCCCGTCACTTTGTAAATAGTAAATGCTCATAGGCTAACTTGTTTATGCACTTTTTGTCGAGATAGGTTTATTGTGTTTTCGGCAGTTGGTCTGTAATGGGGGTTATATAGGTGAAAAATATTACCTATAATTGTCAATGAGTTTTTAATAATAAATTAAAAGAGGTAGTATCATTACAGTGTAATTCACAGTATTACTTTTTACTTTAATGACAAATATTGTCATAGGTTTATGTTTATTGCGTATTGCGAGTAGTTTACAGTCAGTCTTATCCATGCTGATTATCCATTCAATCCAGTAAACATTTACATCTGTAAATAAATTGAACTTAATTAATCATACAATAGAAGTTTAATGGCACCAGTACCAGTAAGAGTAAGCGTATGACTCACTCACATTCACCGGGGTGGCTGCCGCGAAGCTCGGGTTCCGTCATCGCCGCCGAGCTGTCAAACGTTGTTTGATATTCTTTTGTGTTTTAAATGTCGTTCGTAGGTTTTTAATCGATACAACAATTGATATAGGTTAATTAATAATAAATAAGACATATTTTAGGCACATGTATCTGTCTGTCCTTTATTTTTTTATTTTCATTCCAAAACATTAACTTATTTCTAGCGATAGTAAGGCCTCGCCGGGCAGGCCTCGCCGGACAGGCCTCCGGCGCGAGGCCTGGAGCGGTCGCTCCACTCGCTCCACCCTAAGGACGGCGCTGCAAGTTTCATTAGTAAAGATGTCACACCGGAAGTAATTTTTTCATGGGCTGTAACTCCTAAACGAGTGGGTTTATCGAAAAAATGTCAAGAATAAAAAAGTTTTTAAACTGCATGTTCTATCCGAAAACTTAATAATAATTGTAGCTGTTATCCAGTTATGGCTGTGAAAAGAAAACTGCTTGCGTATTAATATATGGATTAATCTTTTATGTAAAAAAGCGAACAGCTGATTTTCGGACATGAAAAAACCTGCTTGGCCCAAAATGACGAAGACAGGTGGCATTTCGGTGTTGGACAGCAATACAAAGCTTTTAGCCTCCAATTAATGTTTGTAAAACGGCCAAAAACATCGTAATATAGTGGGAAAAATTGATTTTTTTTTATGTGAAGTATTGAAAGTGTTTTAAAAACCAGTAAAAATGTACTTATTCTTGGTTTCTTCATTTAATTTTTTGCACCAACATTATGTTAGACCAATATGATGTACTTGAACTAGTAAAAATTGTTTTAAATTGTTTAATCATTATTTGACCTAAATAAATGTGTTAATAAAGTGTGATATTTTTCAGATGTGTTGCTAGATAAGCCCAGTATTCGTGCAACTGCATCATTTAACAAGTCCTACAAAAAAGATTTATAAATAAAGGTACGAGGCTTATAAATTTGTCGACCCTTCTGATTATTATGGTATTATAAGCTTTTCTAATAAGTTTCACAAAGACAGAAATTGGAAAATTACAAATGTTAAAACACACTAAAAAGCCTCTGCTTAAGTGTCCAATATGTGGAGAAAATTTTTTAACTCAGTTAAGAATGAAGGTTCATATATTGTATCACACGGGCGAGCGCCCCTTTAGATGTTTGATGTGTAACAAAACCTTTACCCAGAAACATAATGCAAAGAGTCATGTGTTGACACACACAGGGAAGAAACCTTATAAGTGCACTACCTGTGGAAAATCATTTGCACACAAATGCAGTTTGAAGAAACATACATTGACAATTCATACAAAAGAGAGACCTTATAAGTGCACTTCATGTGGAAAATCATTTGCACACAAATGCAGTTTGAAGAAACATACATTGACAATTCATACAAAAGAGAGACCTTATAAGTGCACTACATGTGGAAAATCCTTTGCATCAACATTCATTTATAACAGACATGTATTAATACATAGCAATGAGCGTCCTCATAAGTGTTCTACATGTGGAAAATCATTTTTATGCAAATACAAGTTGAAGTCGCATACATTGTCTGTTCATACAGAAGAGAGACGTTATACGTGCACAACATGTGGCAAATCCTTTAAACACAAACACGGTTTGAAGTTGCATATATTGACAATTCATACAGAAGAGAAACCTTTTAAGTGCACAACATGTGGCAAATCCTTTAAACGCAAATACGGTTTGAAGTTGCATATATTGTAAATTCATACAGAAGAGAAAACTTATAAGTGCACAACATGTGGAAAATCCTTTAAACGCAAAAACCATTTGAAGGTACATATATTGTCAATTCATACAGAAGAGAGACCTTATAAGTGCACAACATGTGGAAAATCCTATGTACACAAATTCAATTTGAAGTCTCATGTATTGTCGGTTCATACAGAAGAGAGTCTTCATTAATGCACCACATATGCGGAAAGTCAGTGACGTAGCCAGGATTTTAAAATAGGGGGGGTCGACCGACTAAGGGGGTGCATGGGAGTATTCCATACCCCCAGGTAAAAGATGGGTTCGGGAAAATTTTAAAAAATATAAGCTCTATAATGGTCTTTTTTTAGCTCTCTTGGCATTGAAAATAATCAATCAGTCAATACAGTGTATGATTATATAATTTTACATATAATTTAACAAAAAAATATATATAAGGCTAGAAGGGGGGGGTCAGGACCCCCCCCCCCCCCGGGCTACGTCACTGGGAAAGTCTTTTGCATATTTAAGCAATTTGATAGAACATACATTGGTTCATACAGAAGAGAGGTACAAGTGCTCTAAATGTGAAAAATCCTTTAACCGCAAAAACAGTTAGAAGGTACATATATTGTCAGTTCATACAGAAGAGAAACCTTATAAGTGTGATCTACATGTTGGAAATCCTTATACAAATGTCCTATTTTACAAATATATATGTATTCATTCTTGACAATCTAATTTTGGTCTTGTTCATTTCCACAACTGATGAGTCCTTATAAGTAGGAATTTAAAAGCAATTATAACAGACATGTTTTTATTGATATCAATGAACGTCATCATAAAAAGCCAAATGACATGAAATGACTCACAAAACTTTGTTTATAAATAATAGTCAATTGTAAGACCAATGCTAAATCCTATATGTTATCATATTTAATATAAAATGTAAATTAACTAAATTTTCTTAACCAATATCATGTATAATACAGGTTAGATAAAAAGTCTCGGGACAGTTAAATATTTCAAAAAGTAATAAAGGTGGAGCTTCAAAACTTGGTACTCAGTTACTGGGCATTGAAATTATTTTAACACATTATTCAGTGATGTGCTACCTCCTTGAGCGATGGCCCAATAGGAGTCAGAAGAAACTCTTACATGTAACAATAGGTTTATATGCACAATCAAATTAAAGGTCATGATTAAACAATTAAAAAAAATTTTACTAGTTAAAGTACATCATATTGGTCTAACATAATGTTGGTGAAAAAAATGAAATGAAGAAACCAAGAATAAGTACATTTTTGGTAGTTTTTAAAACATTTTCAATACTTCACATCATCAAAAATCTAATTTTTTCACTATATTACGACGTTTTTGGCTGTTTTACAAACATTAATTAAGCCATGTATTGCTGTCCAACACCGAAATGCCACCTGTCTTCGTCATTTTGGGCAATACAAAGCAGGTCTTTGCAGGTCTGAAAATCAGCTGTTCCCTTTTTTACTTAAAAGATTAATCCATATATTAATACGCAAGCAGTTTTCTTTTCACAGCCATAACTGGATAACAGCTACAATAAAATTATTATTAAGTTTTCGGATGGATTATGCAGTTTAAAAACTTTTTTATTCTTGACATTTTTTTGATAAACCCACTCGTTAGTAAAATACAACGCCGCAAATTTGAACTAAAACGGACATTAAAGTAAAAAAAAAACCCCGCCGCAGCAAACCTGACGACCAAGCGAATTTCTATTTGTCTGAATTGATTTCAATTAAATCTATTTTCATGGTTTTTAATAAAGCTATAAATAAATAAAATGTTTATTAACATAATACAAAATACAACTATTTCATAAATAATTTAACTTATCAGTTTCGCTCAGAACTATCAACATCCATAACAAGTTTCATTAGTAAAGATGTGGACATTACATCACAGAGAATAGACCATTATAGTGGTCTACTAGGTGAAACCCGTCGAAATTGACGGTTAGGAGCCTCCTCGTTTATATGGTCGTGTGGCTTCATTGGCAACAAATAATGCAAATGAAATAGCAATGTGCCATTTCCAAAGAGAAAAAACATACTGTAAATTGGCTGTTACTTAAATATTGATCCGTTTACATGCATTGTTAATCAACGTATCTTATAAACGATAATGTGATCTAGTTTAAAAAGAATATGACCTTTCTGTCGTGACAGTAGCTGCTTAAATAGTATTTACTCTTACAGCCAAAATATTGTGATACTTTCAATAATGTTACCAACGCAGTGAGCCACGGTCCGTAATATAGGTCACTGCAAATAATTTGTCAAGATAGGTACCATTTTAGTCAAGGTTTTTGTATTTGGATGTTATTAGACACGATAAGAGCACACTGAACTTCTTCTGCAGATGAAGTTGGAGAAATATAAGCCGAATCATAAATGTGACAATGCGAGTTTGAGCATTTTGTAACTATATGAGGAAGCTACATAGCATTTTTTAGGCTGCTGCTTAGTGCACTTAAGAATATATTTTTTAGAGATGAATTACATTGTTTTTGTTGCCGAGTAGCGCTATTAAACATGCACAACCCTTTTCGTTAGTCTAATAAAATTCAAAGGCTCCCTAAGAGTTCAAGTTCTTATCTGTACACATATCTATATTATGTTTACACTAAGATGAATGAATACATCAAAGTAACCTCTCTGAAAAGTCTGCAGTATATTGCAGTTATCCAGCTTAATGACTTTCTAAATCATGCACATATTTCTACATAAATATTGTAAAATATTTTATCCAGTTGCTATAAACCACTATTAATTTAACAAAATATGGACACGGCTCAAATGGGCACCATGCCCTTCTGCACTTGTATTATTTTGTATTGTATTACACAATCGATGATTTTTCCAATGATTGAAAGCATGTATGACAATAATCTCATGACCCTATGATGATCTGTCTAGAATAATATGATAAAATATAGGGAAAAGGTGTGAAAAATGCAGACACAAACCCGTAAAATAGATATAAGATAGTTCAATAAAAAATAATTGTAAGAGTTATTGTGATAAAACGATTTTCCACTGATTTGGTAATGGAACTTTATATTGCAACACATGACATGATACAGAAGAAAATCCAGTTTAAAATCAGAAAATAACATTGTAAATACTTCTTTTGGACTATTCAGTAACTCCCAATAAATGTGTGCTGTTTAAAATACAATTATAAAATAAACAGCTGTTTTATTAAAAAGTATTATCCACATGACCAAAATGTAAACAAATCTGTAGAGGGATCTTTAAAGGCTTCTGGGACAGAGACCTAATCGAATTTACTTCGTCTTTCCTTTCTTTGGACACCTCTACCAAGTTTCTACGCCAAGCCGTTCTCTCAAATTAGTGGAGACAAAGTTTCCAATTAAATATTTAGATTCCCCCATGTTAATCTTATGGGAGAAAATCCAACTTTGATGGAAGATCTTGCCCAAACTAATAAAGATATCAAATAACTAAAAGCACTTTGCAAAACTACAGATCAGGGCAATTTTTTTGACACTTTAATCATCAAAATCGGTCCAAAAATGAGGGAGGAGTTATGTTTACAAAAATCGGCTTAGCGTATTATATATATAGATTGTATGTGATTACGTACATATGCTTTGTATCGGTATTTTTTTCTGTGTTAAATTTTAAACATTTAACTTAATTATGAAAAAAATTGTTTTCAAGCAAGTGTTATACATCCAAATATCTCAAAACACTGCTAGAAGTAATTGTTCGTAAGCCCTTAAACCAACCGTCGATTTTGACGGGTTTCACCTAGTTTCATTGAAAAGTATTAAAGTATTACAAGCTTGTAAGTAACATAGTATCTGTCTCTGCAGCTTGTACATTTAAGATATTTAATTTTTTCCTAAAAATTAGAAATAACTACAATATTTCATTTGATACGGGTAAAAATTCATGCACAAATGTAAGATACGATATAGGTATCGATACATTCCGTTCTAATACATACCACTACACAGGATCAACACATTGACCAGTATGACACATCATTACTCATAGGTAGGCTAACATGGTAACAAAATGCTATGTACAGACTTTCTGATAAGGCACTATCAAGTATTAATAAGGTTTTTTAGTGTAACCTGTTGTATAAAAATAAGGATGCATTTCACGACATCCAAGGGTAACCACATAGAATAATGTAAGTCAGTGTCACAAC